TGTGTGGTGTGTGTGTGTGTGTGTGTGTGTGTGTGTGTGTGTGTGTGTGGTGCCTTTGTTTTACTCACATTATGGGGACCAAAACCAGTTAACACTCACATTGTGGGGAGTTGGCTAACCACAAGGAAATCACTGAACTTTAGGGTGGCAACATGGGTTAGGGTGAGATTAAGGTTAGGTTAAGGTGAGGTTTAGGGTTAGGATTAGGTGAGTAGTGGTTATGGTTAAGGTTAGGATAGTTCTACAGGAAATGACTGTAAGTCAATGTAAAGTCCGCACAAGGAATGAAAACATAGTGTGTGTGTGTGTGTGTGTGTGTGTGTGTGTTTCTGGGTGTTTCCTCTTCATTTATCACTGAAGTGTGAATTGTGTCTCTATGACTGTAATCTGATTTACATGTCTGAACAACAAATACATAGCTTCAAAAACAAACAATTAAATATCATAAATATTATAGCCTATAGCCGGTGTGTGATGAGCTGGTACAAGGCTGGGTTACCAACAAAGCAGGTAACCACCCAGACGTTTGACTAGGCCATATCATTTGGTTCACATAATTTGATTAATGGCTAAGTTGAAGGAAATTGTCTGCATCAACCTTGCCAAGTCTTCCATCACATCTTGAAAAAAAGAACTCATTTAGACCTTTAGTGTTTTAGTTAAGACCTGTATATAAAGTTTGTGTGTTATAAAGTTAGTTCAATACTTTGATTATGGATGGATTGCTGAATGGGCCTAAGCACAGGCCCAGGGTCTGTTTTTATGTTGTGAGTTCTTGTTTTACATGTATATTTTTTAATATGAAAAGAAAGTAGCAATTTGGCTAATTGTCAAATAAAGTCATAAAATGTAAATCAAGTAAAGCAGAAGTAGGCCTTCTTCAAAACTGTACTTACCTTGTACATAGATTTTGTTACCTTCCATCCTTTTTACTGATGTGAGGTTGGACCAGTTGTGGAATGTATTAAACATATTTTTATCTTGCTGTACCTAATAAACTGACAACTGAGTGTAGAACAAGCACTGACATTAGCATTTAGCTCAAAGCATATGTATGGCCTCACACAGCTGTTAGAATGGTTGTAGACTATGCTGTTATTATTTTGTCCTTTGGTTACCAAGGCAACAAAATACTGAAAATTAAATTAAGTAAAAGTGTAAAACCATACACAATAGTAATACTAACACTAAACTAGAGTATAATACATCCTTCTTCAGTGTATTATCATATCAGTTTTTCTACTGGCAGTTACTACACTACTACATCCATTTGTTTGGTGAAAATTGTCACATAAAATAAATTTTACAGAAGATTGTGTGATTCAAATATTTGAAATCCAGTGTTATTATGGGTTAAGTAAACAATGACTTTGTAAGTAGTTTAAATTTATTAACAGCCAGTGTTTATTTGAAGTTCAGGGGAAGAATATTAACCTGAAAGAGTCGGTGAAGATGTCAAATCACTCTGATTCATTCCAGACCTTCAACCAGCCACCATTTTTAAAAGAATGGAGGGACATGAAGAAGAGGAAAAAAATGGGAGAATGTTTATAAGTTTCTAAACATTATTGAACAAATAAGCTAGTGTAATGGAGGAATACACCAAATTTGCCTCAACTCAAAAAGTACATCCCATTTGGCAAAGAAAACACTTTATATTAACATGATCTTTACTACATCAGTCTGATTTTAAGTATTGTGATAAAAAATAGTTCCAGACAGAAGGACGGTGGTGGAGTAAACAAACTGCTTGGGCAAATGTCGGACAGGAACTCTGCACTACATACACACATACTGAGTGTGTTTGTTGGTATTTCCTGTTAATGACTCCGCAGTTATTATGGTGACCAGCTACTGTTCCCATCCTCCCACCTACTCCGAGTGCCTTTATGTTGCAATAAATAAATGAACAAACAAAAAACACACCAATCATAAAGTCAAGTCATATTTCCTCCTGGAAATATGGTTATGGTTATGATATGAGAATACCTGGGAGTCCATTATGTCTTATATACATTCACATTACTTGCTTAAGTGGCCAAAATCAGATTTTTTTCCCTCCAAGTGACTTAGATCTGATCTTTTCTTGGATTTGTCAACAAACCAAATCTGGGCCACTTCCATATATGTGGTCCTAGATCTTATTCATATCTGATTGCTGACCATACACTGTTAGAACGGTCAGAATTTGTGTTTTGTAAAATGTCTCACTCCTCTGCACATATCGCCTGTCATTATCATTCAGTGCTGGCCCCTCACAGACCGGCAAGAATAAACATGGAGGAGAGCAACATCAGCGACGAGGACAGTGTGGCAGCTTAGGATCTCAATGATGTTCACATACAATATGTGTCATTTACATGAAGGTGAACCATCAACACAAAAAGATCAATGACAAAACTAAAACACAACTAAAACAAGTCACCTTTGAAAGCAAAATGCATTACATTTTTATCAACAAATGAAAACCTAACAATATGAAAGATGAACAAATAAATGATTAAGCTATTTGATGTTTACATGCAAAGGCTTCAACAACCTGATTTGTAAAACAGTATCCTCTGCTGCCCAGAAACTTCTCGATGAGAAGCTGAATTAATTGCTTCTTTTGTTGCACTGTTAAGAAAAATAAAAAGAAGGAACAATGGAAGAAGAATATGTGCAGTATGAAGTAATATTCTGTTATCTGATGTTACAGCTTGTTGAAAAAACAAATTTATGGACAAAAACAGATAAACTGTCTGCTTGTTCTGTGGATTTCACTCTCTGTGACCTTAAGAAAACTGATGCAAGATAAGAGGCCAGTAAGACCAGTTAAAACAACAACCAGTATAAGAATTTACTTTTTCCCATGTACATAAAAAGCAACAGTTGTGTAGTCATTCTTAGTCATCATGTGCTAAAGGCATCTGATACTTCCCCTGTTCTTTTTCAGTTCCTTCTCTCCTTCTCACATCCCTGAAAGTGTGATTGATGATTTTAATTGTCATTTTAGTCAAGTTTGGTTCAGTCGCCATATGCAAGCCAAACCAAACGTCACTACGTTACACAAAGGTGCTATTAGGAATGGAAATGTAGATTATGCTACAGCCAGACACTACATAGATAAAAAAAAACATGAATCAGCTTCCACCCTTAACTCTTATAGGTTTGAAAAGAGTTTTGTGAAAACTGAGAGGAAGTGATGCAAATAAACAAGTACTGAAAAGATAAGCATATTGGATACATACAGTACTTTAAACACTGTAGAGCCCAACCCTTTAAATGAAGAGCTTTTTAGAAGTAGAGATATTTATCCTTATAATAGGAAACTTTAGAGCAGAAGTAGCTAATAGGTGGAGCAAATAATGATGGTAATGTAATAACTTTGGGTTGATACACCTATCTTTCCTATATATTCTGGGTTTTCCATTGAGTAATACAGAATGTTTGTAAATATTTTAGATCTTCTTTTGTATAATGTTGATTTTTATTATAAAGTTTTGTATTATTTTAAATAAGTATATTGTGCATTTGAAATGACGTATGACCAGCAAATGATCAGTGACTGTTGAGCCATGAGAACCTAACCTGTCACCGCAATGCGAAAGGCGTTGCTCACATTTATGTGTGTAATTTAATAAAAAAGATTTCATATCTAGACATCTCTGGTGTGTGTAGGAGTGTTATATTTTTTGTGGCCAAACATTGGAATTATGGTTTTCAGCTTCCATAAAGGTGCGCTCAAAAGTATAGTGTATCTGCTATCTTAATTTTGTAATAATAATAATCATTCCTTTATTGGTCCCGCACGGGGCAATTCCTTAGTGATGGCAGCGCTATCCAAGTATCTGCCTGGCCAGCAAGGGCAATGTGGGGCTCAGTGTCTTGCTCAGGGACACTCCAACATGTGGACTGGGGAGAGTGGGAATCAAACTGCCAAACCTCTGGTTAGGGGATGACCACTCTACCTCCTGAGCCACAGCTGCCCGTTAAATCTATACTTCTAAACTTAATTTTGTAAGTTTGTATTTTTAGGATTGTTAGTAAACCTAAAAAGATGTTAAAATGTCACAGATACGTAGTTGAGAAACAAATAAAAAATAAAGAAAACTACAGAGAGATGTTCAGGGTGCTCCTCTCTCACCTCTGCACAGCTGGCCAGTCATAGTATGAAGTGGATGCAAATGCTGGATTGTTGGTTTCAGAAAGTTACAGAAATGATTACATACAGAAGGGTATGAGGGAATTCTCACTGCTTTAGACTGCCTTACTTTTATTTAGGTGACCCTAATAAACTGGCAACTGAAGTGCAGTGTAGGTGCATGTGGTCTGCTGGCCCCAGTGTTGTGAAGATGTGGAGTGCTGCATTTGGTCAGTGAGTCTTTGTCACATCAGGGGGGGTTTAAATCTAACAACCCATTTCACTGAGTGTTGTTCTTTCTTTTACAAAGAATCAGCATTTATTCTGTCTTTACTTCTCCTGAAATGTTGATGTGTTTGTTTTTAAAGATGTGGAGGAGTGATCTGTAGAAAACAACTTTCTCAACTTATCCTCAGCAGGCAGCTAGTGACCATGTCTATCAAACAGGCAACAACAGCAACAACATCTGTGTGATGTGATACTGAAAGACAAATTCAAAACAAGAAACAAAACAGAAATTGCACCAGAATACTCAGCCTCATAGTCATGTATAATAACATTCATGTTTAACCAGCTTTTCTTCTGTACAAGGAAATGAACACTGTTAGAGGTTGTGAAACATACTTTTTTATAATGTTTTAAATATTGCTCCCTCAGTGGGGTCATATAGTTGTTTGAGTTGGGTCACTAAGGTTACATTTTTAAGTTTAATTTTTCAGTTTAGTTGAATCATTTTAGCTTAATGGGGT